ATTCGGCTATATGGCGAACCACAAATTGTGACCTGCTGTTTGGGAATTTCTATATCCAGAAATGTGAAAATTTGAAACATTTGCGCGCAAGGGATCAATTTTTGAGTCTCGATTGCTAGAATTTGATCACCTGTATCCATGACTGAAAATTTCAAAATGGTATGTATGCTTAGCTTTCGTGCGCTTTATCAATTTCAGTTTGTTTTTTGGAACATAGCTTTTCGTAAATGAGGAATGTGGCTTTTTTGTCCTGCACCATTTCGTCATCAAAAATTGATTTTTGAGTAAATAGAGTTGACCATGCAATACTACTTGATTATTCTTTCCAAAGGTACTACGCATTTATACTCAAGTTCATTTGTGACATCTTCAAAACCTTCGATTCGTTGAGATAATGAACGATAAAGAAAAAAAATCAAGCGATTAACAAACCTTATGCAGGAAAGCAGCACCAGTGAGTATGATACTCAACTGACAAGTGTGATTACTATTGTAGTACATTTCGTTGCCATATCGAGCATGATGTCGTGCTGGGAAACCCACGATGCGACGACGATTCTCTCTCCAAACTCTGGAAAAGTATGCTTTCAACTGACATTTCGTTTTGATCATTCAATTTTCGTTTGTTTTTAAAATAAGGCAGAACAGCTACATAACGAATTTTCGTTATATATAGGTATGTTGCGTGATAAACCGTGTACAGTATGCGAAACAATAAAAATTATCTGTTATTCTGATCTGTTAAATGACATGAACTTCATACTCTCTCAAGCAGAAGGGTTTTAGGTTTATTCCTAGAACTCACACAAATCGATGCTTTGTGCTTTCATGCATATAGCACAATCGGGTAGCTAATTTTGTCTCTGACTTAATTCAGGCCAAACTTCACCATAAAGATGTAAGAGACGGATACAAACACTAGAATAATTTGAAGTTTTTGAGCATGCAGGGCGCGTCAAAACTGGGATCCGAATATTTTTTTTTTCATGGAAACAAAAGGAAGGGCTTAGAGACAAAAAATTTGGTGGACACAATTCAAACAAAATATGAGCTCTCAAGATAGAGGTAGAGGTGGTTTGAAATGTTGTCCAC